TAAGAGGTGTTATTCTGAAAAATCAATGCAGTTATCCTATTTCAATAGATTCCAATGTCATAATCCCAGCCATGTTATATTAGCTAGCTATGCTGTCTAAGAGGCCATCTCAAACCCCATACTTTTACTTTCTGTGTGTATGTGGGGCAGTCTATTCCAGGGCAGTCTCCAATTTAGTCTATAGTCAAGGATGATCTTGAACTTTAGATCCTCCTGCCTCTGCCTCCTGAGTTTGAGCACTGGGATTACCAGTGTTTATGTGGTACTGAGGATCACACTTAGTGCTTTGTATATTCTAGGTAAGCACTGTATCAACTATATTTCAGTACCTGAAATAAAAACCAGTTTATTACTAGAGTTTGTGCATTTCTACTACTGGGGATTGAGTGATTGACATGGGATCAGCTTAGCCACTGCTTCTTGCAGCTACATTCACTCTCATCTCAAGGCTAGCAGAGACTTGGATTGCTTGTCTCACCTCACCGTAGCATGCCTTTGATCAGTGAGACTGTGCTCCTTCCTCTGAGATCAATTATCTCAGCACATCCTTCTTATGTGGTGGTAAAACCATAAGAACATAAACCCAATCTTAGCTAACACATTTCAAGATTCTGCTGTACTAATACGCTAACGTGCCATTGGTTAGGTTAAGTTACAGGGCAAAGCTGGGGTATTGAATACTCATATAGCAAAAGGCACAGTTGGAGGGTATGATGGCTTACATTGGTATAGCTTGACTAGACCAAGATTCACCTAGGAAAGGAGCCACAGGACATACTTGTGAGGAATTGTCTTGATTGGGTTAATTCAGGCAGAATACTCCCCTAAATATGGGCAGCACCAAACCCATTGGGTTGGGCTCCTAGATTACCTACAAAGGAGAAAGATAGGTGGGTACCAACATTTCTCTCTCTCTACTTAATGGATACAAAGTGACCATCTGCCTCACACCCTAACCACCATGCCTTCCCCACCTCTGATGGACTTCCTTCAAACTGTAGCCACCCAATTTCAGTGAGAAAACCTCGGAAATCTATGGGCCCTCCTGTAGTAGTTCAGTCCTTATCCCTAGCACAGGTGTGGACTTTGGGAGGCCATTCCACATAGAGGAATACTGCCTGAGCCAAGACACACGGGGGTCGGCCTAAGTCCTATCCCAAAGGATACGATAGACTCTGATGGCACCCTCACCCTCCAGGGGAAGCAGAAAGGATATGTGATAGATATGGTTTTAGTGGGTGGTGGGTGGTAGGGGAGAATGGGAGGGAGAAGGGAACTGGGATTGTCATGTAAAACAATCTTGTTTCTAATTCAAATAAAAAAACTTCAAAAAAAAAAAAAAACAAAAAAAAAACCTGTAGCCACCCAAATCCTTTTCTCTGTTAGGATGCTTTTGCCAGGATATTTTATCACAGAAATAACAAAGCTAAAACAAAGTGGGATAGCCAACTGGAGTCAGCAGTGGGTCATTTCGTCCACTACAGCTTCTGTTGGGTATTGTCATCCCAAAGCAACAGAGGAGGCAGGGCAGACATACTGTGTGTGACAGCTGGGAATAGTATTAATAGTTTCCAATGCAGGCTTTTAGAAATACTACAAAAAATGTTAAAGAATAAGAAAAAAGCCACAATGTTCAGAATGATTTTCTTGATCTATATTTACTGTTCAGACATGTTTCCTTTGTCTCTGACTTGGTTTATTAATAGTGTTCTTATAATGGAAAGCATTTAATTAGGGCTGGCTTACAGTTCAGAGGTTTAGTTCATTGTCATCATGGTGGGAAGCATGGCAGCACACAGACAATTCTACATCCGGACCCAAAGGAGCAGGAAGAAAGAGTGAGCCACTGGGCCTGGATTGAGGTTCTAAAACCTCAAAGCCCATGCCACGGTGACATACTTCCTCCTACAAGGCCACACCTCCAGTAATGCCACTCCCCATGAGTCTATGGGGCCATGGGGGGAATTTTCATTCAAACTACCACAATCTCTTTTCTTCATCAATAGTCTGTTATTATACCAAGGTTCTCCCTCAGTGTATTGTGGACCTTTCTTTTATTATTGAAAAGGCTTTGTAAATATGTCAGTGTCTGTGTAAATGTCCTACCATATAAATAGACCATCAGCCACCTCGTCTTCCTCTCCTTCTCCATGGATTGGTTGCTCCCAGCATTTCATCCTTCTAAATAAGAGTGTACTTATGCACAGATCTTCATCCACAAACACACTGGCTTGTTTCCTCCACGGAAAGAATGCTGGTAGGAATCGAGCTATCGGAGTCAGACCTCAGGTGGCAGTGTGGAGGAGAGTTACATATGTCAGTCTCCTCATCTATAAAAATGATGCCTTTGAGTTTGGGCTTCGTTTTAACTCGGAGCGTCTTCAAGATGGAGGACTAAACTGTAGTCCTGGGATGAAAGCATGATGGTAATACCAATTGTTTCTCCTCATCTAAGCTGGGGGGGAGCAAATCTTTGGTCTTCTCACTTGGAATGACTCCTATAGTCTTTAAGAGAGGATGCTTCCGTCTGCCGTCAGGGACCATCGCTGGCTCTGTAGTCTCTGCTCCCAATACAGCATAGATTATGTTTTCTGATAGGACCATGGGGCTAGGCATGAAGAGCAAATACTGCCCTTTCTGTTTCTACACACTCTTATCTGTTGACAGTGATTTTTGCTCCACTAGAAGAACCAATTTTATCTTCCTTTGGGGTCTCAAGTGTACTTTCTTCGATTGATTTTGCCTAGAGTGTGTGTTGTGAATTACATCGGGTCTCAGTCACTTTGATTGTGACATTAGGACATGTGGCCTTACCTCACAATTTGCTGATCATTGCATGGGACCATTTTCCCAGGAGTGTCCCTCTTTATATTATTATACCCAGAGCTAAATTTCTTCTTACTCTGTCCCTTCTAGCCTCTTCTGGTAGCAGACAGTGTTCAGTTTGGCTGTGAGTGTGATCTCTATGAGCAGTAGCTTCAGCATCTCACTGATGAGTGGCGTACGTGATCCACACCCTCTCTTTGCCTCTCCCTCCCTCACTCCCCCATTCTGTCCTAAGGGTGCTACCCCTTTCTGTGGACAGTCTTCTAGTTCTGAGCCTCCTTGTGGGAGTCACTAGTCTTCTTTGGGCCTGTGGTTCATTTGTTTCTATAAGCCGAGCAGGGCGCCCATCTGGCCAGCAGAACTATGTGTCTCTGCAGTGTGGTCTCCCTCCTCTGGCAGCCAATAAAAGGCCCTTTGTTCCCTCCTCTCCCCTTCTGGTCCAGGGTGTCGCCTACACCCTGGGATGGAAATCCTCCCATCACACAAGACACTGGGCAGCTTATAGAGCACGCTCTGAAAGCAGAATACCACCTTGTGAGTGGGAACCTAACCTACTCTGTGCTCAAAGGAAGTAGCTTATGGAGTTCAAGTCTGTCTTTGTGAACTTTTGATTTTCGTCACTGTTCCCATGTTTCCCTCCTTAGCAGTTCTGTATATGATTTTTTTCAAGTACCGCCCCACCCTCTCTTTTAAATAAGAAAACTTGAGCCAAAATCTTGAGTATATGTTCACAGTGGGAACTGCTTTGCACCCCTGAACAGTTACAGGTAACCATGTGGGAGGGGCTTGTTTTCAAAAAGCAGAGAAACACACCTGCTTTGTGTGTGCCCCTTCCTAGTAAGCTGGTGTCGGTTGAGGGCTGTGGGCTTTGGGAACTGCTGGCCTTTCCTTTTTCTCTGCTTGTTTCCAGACTCTTGGCTCTCCTTCCTTACCCCACCCACTGTTCCTGCAGGGTCAGGCTGAATAATTTGCTCTGAAGCAATTTGGTGCAGCTTAAACTCCAGAGCAACATGTGTCTGGTGACTGAGGAGCCCCACTGGCTCTCTTGCTGCTTAGCAGTTATCTTTCCCCAGGCCCAGGGGCCAACATGAAGGCCTTGGTAGCAAGACAGAGCCCGGACTCACCAAGACGCTGCCCTCTTCCCCAGATGAGTCTTTTATCCATTTCAGCCAAGCAAACCCAGAACTTTCCCAGGGGTCTGTGCAGTGTCTCTGGAAGTCTAGTTAGATTTGAAATGTAGGTGGGGAAACAGAAGAGGGTAAAAACTAGGGAGTGGGAATTGAAAAAAGGGAGGGAGGGAGGGAGGAAAGAAAAAAAAAGAAAGAAGACAATCATGGAGAAATCCTCTGTCCTGAGAAATCCTTGCTTGCCAACCATTGGCCTCTTTTCTCCTTCTTACTTTTGACTATACTTATTTATTATTAAATAGATAGCATGTTCACTTGGTTCAAAAACCAAAACCAAAACCATGTAACATGTTACATGGTTAAAAACCGTCCCTCCTTTCTTATTCTCTATGTACTGAGCCCCCCCCCTTTCTTGCTGCCCCCAGGAGGCCCAGTGCACTGGCTACTTTCTTATTGCTGTGGTAACACACCATCACCAAGATAACCTATAGAAGAAAGGGTTGGCTTGGCTTATGTTTCCAGCGTTAGAGTCCCTCATGGCCAGGAATCGTGGCAGCAGGTGACAAGAACAGATGAGAGCTGAGAGCTTGCTTCTTGATCTGTAGGCAAGAAGGCAGTGAGTGCCTGGAAAATGGCATGCATGGGCTTTTGAAACCTCAACACCCATCCCCAGTGGCACACTTCTTTTTTGGCAAGGCCACACCTTCTCAACCTCAAGCAGCCCCGCCAACTGGAAATCGAGTATTCAAACATCCGAGCCTACGGGGGGCATTCTTACTCAAACCACCACATCCGATTCTATCTTTTCCATGTAACTCTCCCAGCATTTCTTCAGGCTTATCATGCCCAAGTATATACAAATAGAGACTTTTTTTCTTGCTGTCAATTTCCTCATCCATGTATCCCTCTTTTCACATATGTGTTTCCCTTTATTCTCCTCTCAGTAGTCCTTTGTTGGAGCTGTGGTTGAGGAGTAGTCAGTGGTCACATGTCTCGCTTTACCGGGTGCCCTGATGTGCTCACGTGTGGCTTGTCCTTTCCCCACAGAGGAAGTCGAGAGTGAGAAGTGGTACCTGTCTCCAGACTTTCCTTCGGCCACCGTCAAGACAGAGCCCATCACAGAGGAGCAGCCCCCAGGGCTTGTTCCCTCTGTCACTCTGACCATCACAGCCATTTCTACTCCTTTTGAAAAAGAAGAGTCCCCTCTGGATATGAATGCTGGGGTATATCCAGTTTTCTTCCTTATAAATATAGATATCAAAAGGTAGAGGTCTTTGGTCTCCAACAAAGCATTTATCCTAGGAGCTGTATGTATTTGAGGGAAAACAGCCATGTATGTACGCATGCATTTATGTGTGTTTGCATGCACGAGTGTATCAAGAATATGTTCATTGTTATCAACATTGATTGTAGCAACCTTCAAAGTTGTCGTACAGAACAATCATTGGTGAAGATGATTCATTTTTTACTTAGTTGCCATTATGAAATTAAAAACGCAGTAGAAGGGGAAAAGCTGTGCGTGGCATTGGCTTTCATTCCAGTGGGAGAGGCTATGCTACAGTCCACAGCGTTCCATGCTATGGTGACTGCCCATGCTGGCTCTACATAGACCTTTCTTTCTCTAGAACCCTGCTGAGTTGCTCTTACCCAAGCCAGATCTCCCACCTCCTGATTCACACACACCATGTTCCTAGCGGAGATCACAGGGAGGCAAGAGCTCTGTCCTCACTGTGGAATGTAGAGTTTAATGGTACTAACCTCTCCCTGGGTGTTTCAGTGTCTGATGACGACAGGCCTGAATCACACTTGTGTATTTTCCAGTTCTGAGTTCAGAGCCTCGTTATAGCGGCTCCAGAAATCCCCATGTAGTTACATATCCTGACAGCAAGATGTGGTACCTGTCTGGTCCTGGAAAGGAAGCGTATTGGGAGAACTGCAAACACATCACAGCCTCCTTGCTAAGGAGATGTGGGTTGCAGTTGTCCCCAGGATTCCTTTCCCAGGGCCTCCCTCTCTAGATCCCCATGGGCTCCTGAGATCTGCGTTAGTCTGTTTGCTCTGGAAGAGTTTGTGTTCAGTTGATTTATATGCATGTATGTGTTGTGTCTGTGCGTGCTACATGTGTACGTGAAATCAATGAGGTCAGAAGAGGCCTTTGGATCCCCTGGAACCGGAGTTACGGGTGGTTGTGAGTCACTGTGCTGGGAACTGAACCCGGGTCTGTAAGAGCAGCAAGCACTCTGAGCCGCCTCTTCAGGCCTTCATTGGTTTTGAAGTATGTATGTAACTAACAGTTCAGGGTCCTGTCCTCATGCTCCCCTCTCTCCGTCCCCTGGTGGGTGTTTTATAGTTAGATATTGTCATCAGTCACCGAAGAGTATGGCGGGGTAGGACAAAGTGGATGTCTATGAGTCTTTGAATTTTTACCAGGATATTTTACCATAAATGATTTATCATAACACTGCTGCCACCACAGCCAATAATATCTCATCTAACACCGCTGCCACCACAACCAATAATGTCTCATCTAACACCGCTGCCACCACAGCCAATAATATCAATGTAATGATAATAACAACAATTAATAATAATAATAATAATAATAATAATAATAATAATAA